TTTCTTATATATTTTGTTCTTTTATATAGAAAACTTACTTGCACGTTCATACTTTGATCCACGAGAAGCATATCCTGATGGAAGTACAAAAGAAAAGCGAAGAGCTTACATAGCTACAGCTCTTGCTGGTGAAGTATCAGTAGTACCATCAAGTAGATTACTTGCATTATTAGGACAGGCATTAAAATGGCAACAACATCAGGGTTTACTACCACCTGGTACTACAATAGACTTGTTTAGAGGAAAAGCAGCAGTACGAGATCAAGAAGATGAGAAGTACCCTACACAACTTTCAAAACAAATTAAGTTTGGTCAAAAATCTCATGTAGAATGTGCACGTTTTTCACCAGATGGTCAATATTTAGTTACTGGTTCTGTTGATGGATTTATTGAAGTATGGAATTTCACAACTGGTAAAATTAGAAAAGATTTAAAATATCAAGCTCAAGATAATTTTATGATGATGGAACAAGCAGTATTATCGATGGCTTTTAGTCGTGATAGTGAAATGTTAGCTGGTGGTGGTCAAGATGGAAAAATAAAAGTATGGAGAGTTCAAAGTGGACAGTGCTTAAGAAGATTCGAAAAAGCACATTCAAAAGGTGTTACATGCCTTCAGTTTAGCAGAGATAATAGTCAAATATTATCTGCATCATTTGATACTACTATACGGTATATAAGAATAGCAATTCAGTCTAATTATTATAAATTTTTAGTATTAATATTAATAATATTATTCAATGTACTTGTAATGTAGGATACATGGACTCAAATCTGGAAAAACCTTGAAAGAATTTCGAGGACACGCTTCTTTTGTAAATGAAGTAGTCTTTGCACCAGATGGACATAATACAATAAGGTACAGTTGCTATTTTATTAACTCCTGAGTAATTATATTTTAAAACTGATTGTTTAACTTTTTTCTTTATGTTGTTTAGTGCTTCGTCAGATGGAACTGTGAAAATTTGGAGCTTGAAAACAACAGAATGTATAGGTACATATAAGTCTTTAGGAGCTGCAGATTTAACTGTAAATAGCATACATCTCCTTCCTCGAAATCCAGAACATTTTGTTGTGTGTAATCGTTCCAATACAGTAGTAATTATGAATATGCAAGGACAAATAGTGAGATCGTTCTCTAGTGGTAAACGTGAGGGAGGTGATTTCGTGTGTACTGTTGTAAGCCCGCGTGGTGAATTTATTTATTGTGTTGGCGAAGATCTTGTGCTTTATTGTTTTTCTACATCATCAGGAAAACTTGAAAGAACTCTTAATGTAAGTATCTTTATTATTATGTTTATACTTAATGTGAGTATCTTCATTATTATTTATACATTTCAGATACATGAGAAAGATGTTATAGGTCTAACACATCACCCTCATCAAAATCTTTTATGTTCTTATAGTGAAGATGGTCTTTTAAAATTATGGAAACCATAAGACAATTAAGGTAATACATACAAATTTCAATGCTTTTTAAGCGTTTTCATCCCTGTATTTATTAAATAGATAAAGAAATTCATTTTTGTAAAACAATAATTCTATTGTGTACAGTTTATATCATGAAATAATAAAAGTATATTATATACAATGAGTTACTTCATTTTTTCATTTTTAAATAAATACAAAACACACATTTATTTATACAGAATTGGGACAAACTTGTGGTACAATCGGGTAAGGGGTGATTCTCTATGAACAAATAAGTCGAAAATAAAAAAAAATTTTTATTCGAGACTGTTTCTGAAAAAAATTGAATTTGAAGATAGTACAACACTTGTACTTAACGAAGATACGATTTTTAGAAAGATACTATAAACATCATCAAGCGTATACATCAACAGTTGACTGCAGAAGTAGCTATAAAGAGTTAAGAAAACTCAACAAGTAGGTGAAGCTTTCTGTTTCATTATGTTAACACAAACACACATGAAAAATGTAAATGTCGATAAAGATTAGGCTTCTGATGTATAGGTTGACCAAGCAAACCTGAAGATTCAGGAAGGAGTTAGGGTCAGGAAGTGGGAGATGGAGAATTTGTTACTACAGCACTGTCTCTACAGCAAAATTAACGAAATATACAATAACTAAACATTAGATGTTAAATACTTTTAATTTTTTACTACATTTTATAAATTAAAGAAGTTAACGATATAGATAATCTGCCCGAATATTGCTAGCAATTTCTAATTGCTATAAACAACGATAGGTGACGATCGAGCCCCGCGTGAGCAGTCGATATAACTGCTGCTGTTATTAATATTATTACTACTACTTAAGGCGCGCCGCTTTTTTTGCAACAACTAATAGTACAATAAAGAATAATAAGCTCTACAGCAAAATTAACGAAATATACAATAACTAAACATTAGATGTTAAATACTTTTAATTTTTTACTACATTTTATAAATTAAAGAAGTTAACGATATAGATAATCTGCCTGAATATTGCTAGCAATTTCTGATTCCCATTTGTCTCCATTATTCAAAAGCTTTTCCTTGTTATATAAAAGCTCCTCGTGCGTTTCCGTGGAAAATTCGAAATTTGGACCCTAAAATAATTCGTACAACTAATATTAATTTAATAAAATCATTCTTACATTAAGTTTAAATTACATTTATAATAAGTCACTAAAAAGGCAAAACATATCTCGGTGCTGTCTATAAATTAAGCCAGTACTGTCCACCGGTGTAATCGGAAGTAACGTAATTTCCTTCGCTTTATTTCCATTTTCAAGCAATATCCAATTCTGATTTGATGTCCAATCAATATGAACAAAATCATCTTATACATTATGAGACTATATGGAAAAAGGGGCCCTCCTATGGACAGTACTGAACTAAATTTTAAAATGCAAAAACTTTCTAATGAGTAAATCACCGCAGAGTGATATATATTTGGTATGGTACTTTCGAACTTCGAATCGATTCTGTCTGATTTTTCTGACCCAACTTAATTTTGGCTAATTAACATACCTATCCACATGTTACTATCCAATATGTATATATTATTCATTACCTCTACAATTGCATCCACTGGACAAGCTTCTTGACAAAAGCCACAATATATACATTTTGTCATATCAATATCATATCTTGTTGTACGACGAGATCCATCAGCTCTCTCTTCTGCTTCAATGGTAATTGCTTGGGCTGGACAAATTGCTTCGCATAATTTACATGCAATACATCTTTCTTCGCCTGAAGGATATCTAATAAAATAAATTAATATTTTATTTTGTACCTGTTTTATATTATATTCCAGTTATATATAGTAATCAAAATAAACAAACTATATATGTATCTAACACTTTTTTTTACTTAAAACACTTTTACAAAAGAAAATTTAATGCTCCTAATTTAATAATATTTTTGTATCAATACCTTCTTAATGCATGTTCTCCTCTAAACCGAGGACTTAAAGGTCCCTTTTCAAAAGGATAGTTTATTGTTGCAGGTTCTCTAAAAAAGTAAGATAGCGTTATTCCGAAACCACTCCAAATTTCGGTTACGAGTAGTCGCTCAGCCAAAGTTTTTGCATCAGTAGATTCTTCATATTGTTTTTGAACGGAATAGAATTTAGTTCGGTGAAAAGGTACAGTCAAAGTCTTTGGAAATGTTTGAAATAATTTACATCCTGTAAAAATACTATGATAAAGTCATGTAAATAATAACAAAATTTATAGGTTATGTCATGTGACATTAAAGCATTATTGCATAAGAAATAATAATACACTCGAG